TCTATTTTTGTATACACTATTTATTGCCAAAGTACACAAAATTTTCAAAGAGGTTCATGCGGAGTACCGTAGATGTTTAGGGTGCTAATACCTTCCCTTTGCATCATCAACACCCGTACCTAGATTCTCTTCACCTCTTTTGGGTTTATTCGCTCTTTTCCCATTCCTATGGAAAAAATAAAGTGCGGTGGAGATTTTTATTTGATATGTACGAGTCAAGTCAACTCAATGGATTAGTCTTGATATTTCTACCGCTACAGTAAGATGGCTTAGTCTTGAGATGGCGTTTATTGACGACGTTTCATTCTCTTTTGGATCCTTATGTTTTTTATACTCTTGATTTGTATTAGTACTTATGGGATTGTATATTTTGGCCACGGTTTTATCCGGCTTTTGTAATTTGTACTAATATTCATATATGTTTCACTGCTTATGTATGAATTTCTTTTACCGTTATAATGCCATATACATATTATCCTAGGAAATGATATGTATGGGGTGTTACAAAGTTGCACTTTGTCAATGGTTCGTTACCTCGACCATCAGATCTTGATTTCAACTCTATTTCTTGGGATAGATGGAACACCATGATCATGTCATGGATCAAGAACTCAGTAGAACAGGAAATTGCTCAAAGCATCTTGTGGATGGAAAATGCAGCTGCCATGTGAAATGAGCTCAAGGAACAATTTTACCAAGGAGATGTCTTTCGTATTTCTGATATTCAGGAAGAAATATGAACATTGAAGCAATGTGGCACTTCTATCTCTTCGTATTACATGAAACTCAAGATTTTATGGCAAGAATCGGACAATTTTCGTCCTATTCCTAAATGTGCTTGCGATTCCACATGTTTGGCCATTATCAAGATTTGTGCCTACAAGGATAATGATCAAGTCATTCGTTTTTTGAAGGGATTGAATAAGAAATACTCATCTATTCGATCTTAAATTATGTTGATGGATCATATACCAATCCTATGCAAAGTTTACTCTCTACTTGTTCAACAACAAAGATAGAATGACATTCCTCTCGATGAGTCGAAAATATTAGCTATTCCTGGCTCCAATCAACACAACAACACTCGTGATACTCAATACAAGTCCAATACCAACTCTCAAGGAAGAGGCAGCACCAAAGGTGGCAAACCTTGTGGCAGAGGGAAAGGAAATTGTGTGTGCACTAATTGTGGAATGACCAATCACACAATTTATGCGTGTTTTGAAAAGCATGGCTACCCTTCTCACTGGAAGCAGGATGGCATGATTAACCAATATGCTGTTTGGACTGACAAGTCAGAAGAAAAGTTAGGTGAGACTTTTGAGGCAAATGCACAGGTATCTCATGGTTTAGCTTTTACTCCCGAGTAGCACAAGGCTTTGTTGGCATTACTACGAGATGCATCAGAGTTAGAGTCTCATAACATTAACCATTTAACCTCTTAAAATGACCTCCATTCAGATATTGTTTGCACACTTCCTACTTCATTTCATGCTTGTTTCACTAAGACTTATTTTCAATGCATCAAGATGATTCAACCCATAACCATCAAGCTGCCTATTGGTAGTCTTTTCACCACTCAATTTTCAAACACAATCAAATTTAACAATGTTTTTCACATTACTGATGTCCTTTATATGCTCGATTTCACTTTTAATCTCATTTCTGTACCCAAATTAACCAAAACCCTCAATTGTCAACTTGTGTTTAATAATGTTGATTGTGTCAAACATGATCTTTCCTCCCTGAAGATGATTGGAACAAATGAGTTGCATGGTGAATTGTACCTTCTGAAATATCCATCAGTTACCTTGCATCACACTCCTCATGTTCATTTCATTAAGTCTACTTTCAATAAATCCTTAGATCCATCTACTCAAAGTAGCTTATGGCATGTGAGACTTGGATATGCTTCACATGCCAAACTTCTTAAACTCGATAAAAGCTTTCCTTTGATTAAACATGTGCATAATGATACACCATGTGATATATGTTTCTATGCTAAACTAAAAATATTATCATTCTCCATCAATTCTCATGTTTCTCAATCCTCTTTTGATATCTTACACATGGATATATGGGGTCCTTTTGTCCACTCCCTCCATGATGGGTTATAGATATGTCTTAACAATAGTTGATGATAAGAATATATTTACATGGCTTTTTCTTATAAAGTTAAAATCAGAAACATCATCTCTCATTAAAACTTTTATAGCCATGGTCAAAACTCAATTTAATTGCCAATTCAAGCGTATTAGATCAGATAATGACAATGAATTCTTACTTGCAGACTTCTATAAGCAGTTTGGAATTATACATCTAACGACTTGTGTTTCTACCCCTCAACAAAATGGAATTGTTGAGAGGAATCACCAACATATCTTAGGTATTACTAGAGCTCTCCTATTTCAAGCACAATTACCTTCCATTTTTTGGGCACATGCTGTTAGCTGTGATGTGCACATCCTAAACAGATTACCTACACCATTCCTCAAACACAAGTCTCCTTATCAAGTCCTATATCTCAAACTACCTGACCAGACCAAATTTAAGAGTCTATGGTTCATTGTGCTATGCAACTGCTCTTAAAGCCAATAGAAAGACGTTGGACTCAAGATCCAGAAAATGCATACATCTAGGTTATAAACCTGGTGTTAAAGGACATATCCTATTTGACTGGCATTGAAATAAACTATTTTTATCAAGAGATGTCATTCTCTTTGAGACACTTTTCCTTCCAACAAAAACACTTCCTCAAATCATTCTCCTCCATCACCTAATCCTTTAACTGCATCTGGACAGTTAGATGATCTCTTTGATCACCTTTTACTGTCAGAGCCTACAAACTCTTCATCTTTAGACCCTGTTTTCACACCTAGTTCCAAACCTTCCCAAAATAGCAATCCATCTGATGACTCTTCCCCTGAACTTATCAAAACTCCACCTATAATTAACCATATTCCTACTAATACAAACCCTGTCAGCCTTCCTATCAGAAAATCCACTAGAAATGCACACCCTCCCTCTTACCTTAAGGACTATCATTGCAATATCCTTTCAGGTACAATCACCAATCCAGATTCAGCTATTTTCACTTCATCTTCTGCCTGTAAGTATGCTCCATCTTCAGTTCTTACTTATGATTTTTGTCTCCCACTCATAAACATTTTACTTTAAATCTTTCATCCATTCATGAACCTAAAACCTATGAGACTGCCATCTGTGATGCAAACTGTAGAAATGCCATCAATTCTGAATTAACTACTTTGGTTAAAAATAACACATGGGTTCTTGTTCCTTTACATGCACAGAAGAAAGCAATAGGGTGAAAATGGGTTTTCAAGGTGAAGATGCATGCAAATGGGACTTTTGAACGATACAAAGATCTCCTTGTGGCAAAGAGCTTCACTAAAACTGAAGAATTGGATTACACAGACACTTTCAATCCAATGGTAAAGATGACAACCATTCAAGTGCTTTTAGCCATTGCAGCAGTTCACAACTGGCCACTTTTTCAGCTTGATGTTAATACAACCTCTCTTTATGGGAATCTGCATGAAGAGGTGTATATGAAAGCTCCACCAGGTCTTGAACTACCTCAGCAAAACCTTGTATGTAAGTTGCAAAGATCTCTATATGGCTTAAAACAAGCGAGCAGACAATGGAACACCAAACTGTCCGAGACACTTATTGAAGTCGACTACATTCAGTCCAAAGGAGATTATTCTCTCTTCACCAAGAATTCTCCTCAAGGTTTCACAATTATCCTTGTTTATGTGGATGACTTGGTTCTAGGGGGAACTAACCTTCAAGGAATACAACAGATCAAAGTATTATTAGATGACAAATTTAGCATAAAGGATTTGGGCACACTTAAGTATTTCCTAGGTTTTGAAGTGGCTCAAAGTGTGCAGGGCATTTCTATTTGCCAAAGAAAATATGTCCTCCATTTACTCGATGATACAGGACTCCTTGCTACAAAATTGTGCTCTGCCCCCATGCGACCTCATCTTCTGCTGCATAAAACCTTAGGAACTCCTATCTCTGAACCAACTACATATAGACGACTCATTGGTCGTTTATTTTATCTCACTCATACCAGACCTGAGATTGCTTACGTAATAAGCCAACTCAGCCAGTTCCTTGACTCTCCAACAGACAAACATATGCTAGCTGCACTTCATGTTTTAAAGTACCTCAAAAATAATCCTGGACAAGGCCTCTAGTTCAACTTTTCTTCTTCATTGTGTCTAAAAGGGTTTTCAGATTCAGATTGGGGGCGTGTCCAGATACTCGAAGGTCTACATGTAGCACGCGTTTCTTTCTGGGTGAATCTCTCATAAGCCGAAAGAGTAAGAAACAAGCAGTGATTTCTAGATCATCTTCCGAAGCTGAATATCGTGCCCTAGCGCACAGTACATGTGAAGGCATTTGGCTTCTTTCTCTCCTTGCGGATTTTTGAATATTTCATACTGCACCCATCATTCTTTATTGTGACAACAAATCTGCCATGCATATAGCTGCTAATCCCGTGTTCCACGAACGAACCAAGCATATTGAAATAGATTGCCATGTGATGGGTGAAAAGGTTTTAGCAGGCATTATCCATATCATGCCAGTTTCTACAAAAGGACAAGTTGCAGATATCTTCACCAAATCTCTTCATCTTGGTCCATTCAACAAACTTCAAGCCAAGCTTGGCATGATTGACATTCATTCTAGCTCGCAGGGGGCTGTGAATCATGATGAAAATAATACAAACCAAAATGATGATGTAACATATAACTAACGTAGAGAGTTAGTTAGATAGTTAGTTAGGGTTATCTTATAGTTAGTTATTCCTACTGAACTATATAAGGCAAACTACACCATTGTAATACTTTGAGATAGAGCAATATATTTTTTCATTCTTCTTCTTCATCACATGCAATATTACACTTCTTAGATAATGAGTAGTTGTTCTATCATGATTCAATCATGAAGCTACACTATTACGTTGCATGTTCACAGAAACCTTGATGCAATTTTTCCTAGTTTCAATCCTTTCATTTTTTAACTTTTTATTCTTTTATAGGAAAACAACAACAAAAAAAATGTCAAACTTTATTGTCAATATATATTCTCATCAACAATCCGTTACTACCATATGCTATTCCTCACTTTCTCATATCAGATACAGATTCATTTCACTTATATGCACCATTCAGGTATCTTCAATTCATTGTACTTCAATTTTACTACATTCAATTGTTTCTGGTTATGGATCATTATATTTATATCTTTATGTGGTCCCTTGTTAATTCATTAATTCTGCTTTTCATTCATCTCAGATATTGCATTGTTTGCTTTCTCAACCTCGTCCATTTCACTCATCTGCAGCATTTTACTCATCAGCTTTCAGGTATGTGTCGAAGCGCTGCCCTTTTCTTCTTTTAATATAATATATTTTGTTTGCCTTTAAAAAAATATACTTCAATTGTTTATGATTATCAATCATGCTTCTTTATAATGGATTGCAAGATTTAGAATGGATGATTACTATGTAACAAGTTCTATAATTGTTTATTCATTAATGTAACTTTCGTTGAGAATATTTCAGGATGAGTTCATCTGAGGATAAGCCAATGAACACAAGAGACTTTCGTCATGTGTATGTAGGAAGAAGAAGAAATACAACTGGTTCTTAAAGAGTAGTACAAGATTTGGATCTAAACATTCCCCCGCCTTGGGAACCTTCTACGCCTAAATCTTATGGCTCATTTGAAATTGGAGATGATAGCTAAATTTATTTTTACTTTTCCTGTTTCTACAATAAATACTTTCTGTGACATTCATTATTTGTCTGCAGCAAATTAACATGAATCATTCTTGTTGATATGACCGCAAAATATTTCAATGAAATGTAAGGAGAAGTTTTCATTGGGATATACTTTGGCAGAACATGTGCCTTTTCTTCTACCTATTCTTAAAATTATCTGGTGAAAGTCTTTAACATTCTTTTTTCATTCGGCATAAATGTTCTCTGATTTCAAAATATCAAAGGCTCTCTCTCCTGCTCCCAATCTTTTCCAAAGAGCAGCAATCATTCCCCGAAGGAAGTGCAGCACCGTCAACCGCAAGCCACGGCTCTACATGCAATGGAGAATTGATCAATCCAATGTAAAGCTCGCTATCATGTTTACCACCTAAAATGAAATCACCTTAACACATGCTTCCATTTTCAATTGTAACTAACATTATGCCAAAATTTGTTTTAGGCAGCAAATCATAGACAACGCTTTATTCCTAAAGCGCGGCTATAAATTTTAAAAAAATTAAAATTCTATATTAAATTGAGAAAAAACGTTGCTAAAGACTAACTTTAAAAAGTGCTTCTGAAAAACACCGCTAAAAGATGTGTTTAGAAAGCGCTTCATATAAGCGCTGCTATAGACCATACATCAGAAAGCATATTTTTTTAATGAAAAAACGCTGTTAAAGGAAATACATCAGAAAACGCTTTATAAAGCGTTGTCTGAGGTCATTAATTTCTAATTTCTAAATACGAAAAATCCTGAAACTCGTATTTTTTTCCAGAAGCGCTTAATTCTCTAATCTCTTCTCTCTCTTAAAACCTCGTTTCTCTGAAACCGTCGAATCTCTTATCTCTCTCAAAACATCGCTTAACTCCATCACTATTCCCAATCCTTGTGCCCGATCTCTATTCTCCAGCATTGTTCCGTTCTTGATTCTCCATCGTTATTCTGCTACTTGTTTGAAGAATTAGAGTGTGTAAGTGCTTGCTACTGCTGCTCTTGTTCAGGCCAAGAAACACGAGTTCTGAATACCAAGAAACACAGTTGGCAGCTTAGATGACCATAACTTCTAAACACTTATCTTTAACTCAAAAGTTGTAAATAATACTATAATATTTACAATATGAATGTGCCCTAAACCAAAATAATTGTTAGTTGATTAACTATCATTGACTAACATAGTGATGGCAGCTTCATAACATAACCTTAAGTACATTCTCCTCTTCTAAGCACTTTCAAACATTTATAAAATCTTCTTTTGGGCATCATGTTGTACCCTAAAATTTTTCCTCCATTTTCTTCAAGACATTTCTCACAAAAGATCTCAAATGCTCAAGGATTCTCAAAGAGTTTATCAGACAAGCTCACCTCCTAAGCACTGGGTCCAAATTAGGATTTTGGTTTTCACAAGGAAAATTGGACTTCTAATGCCTCAAATGACTTTCATGATTCATCATAGACCTCCAAGAATACTCATGCCAAATTTCAAGTCTTGCATCTCAAAATTGCCCAGTCAATTGCTCAGATGACTGAGAATCAACTATATTTGGTGAAAAGTCAATTGTAATCAATATACAGTCAAACTTCAATATCTTTGGCCAACTTCAACATTTTGAAGTCATATTCATCAATTGATCAAGATTTGATCATTATTCCTCAAGGGAAGCATTCAAATCATCAAGGGGCAAAATTGTCAAAATTAGGATTTTGACTGAGAATGACTGATCATTGACTTTTGACCTAATACATGGCCTAATGACTTGAAGCATGATCTTAAGGACTCAAACAAAATATTTTGACCTAATTGCATGGTTCAAAACATCCTCAATGATCAAGTGATTGATAGTTGAAATTTGGATCAACTGATGAAAAGTCAACTGACAAACAAAAAGTTAAACTTTGACTTTTTGATCAACATTGAATTTCAAAACTCATGAACCATCAAGACATTCAAAAATATCAAACTTGATCATCCAGAATCAAGAAAGTCAACAAAAGTCAAGATTTCTACTACTTAGAAATTTTTTAAGCGTTTTTAACCTTGATAATTTCACTACTTCATGACCTTTTTTCACTATGATCCAAGATGATTCAAAGAAAACTTTCAACATGAAATTTGTAGATCTTGATGAATTCTACAACTTTGTCTATGAGGGTTGATGTCCAAAACATGCTTAGATTTGGAGATATAGACCCATGAAGTCAAGACATTTTTAACAAAACACTTAGTGAAATTTTCAATAAGTTTGGTCAGATTTTTGTCCTAACTTCTTGGAAATATTTCACCAAGTTCCAAAATGGTCAACATGAAGGTTGTAGACAATGTTTCAAGCTTTCCAAAATATCCAAGAACTTGAAGAGATCATTTTTGAGCTAGGAGAATCGAAGAGAAGAAGTTGGCATGATAAACTTGAATTATATGTCATTTTCATGAAGAACACATGATCCAATCTTAAACATGTGTTGCATAATCTTACTTTGTAGCTTATAACTTGCAAATCTATCCATATTCAGATGTTTACACAACTGATTGATCTATGATCCAAGTGCTTGAGCCATTTCCCATGTGATCATTTCATTAATGGAACAAAGTTCACACTTCCATTTTGGAAAAGTAACTTTAATCACAAAGTCCACTCTCCTTGAGCCTTGCAATTATTTCTTCTGAACATACACAATGTCAAAGCCAAGAAGCAACCATCTACAACTTACTAACCACCCTAGGAGCCTTTGTACTATGCATTGAAACAATGTATTTCAAGCTTGCTTCAAAATCAAGTTTCAAAACCATAACATGTGATCTTTGATTTCTGGTTACTTGAGCCTCTAAAACCTCTTGTCTATAAATAGAGGAAGTATTTACAAGCTAACACGCGATTGGAAGAGTCCTCTAACCCCCTCAAACACTCTGAAATCAGAATTGGCACTCAAGTTCTCCATTGTTGTGCATTGTGACTTTGAATTCCAAATACACAATCCACTCGTGCATTTTCACTTTTAATCAATCACAAAGCTTCTATAACTCATATAGAGGTTATCCAAACACTTTCTACACAACTGTAACACCATTTACACCATCCTCGATTTCCAAAAACAGCCACCTGCAATATTACTTCTCTAGAAGAATCCAGCCACTCTCAATCCAAAGTAAGCATTACAATAGCTTCCTAGGAGTTCAGTGAAGTTATCCAGATCATCACAACACCTCCAGGAGTGCTCAAACTCCAAAAATAATTTCCATTTTTGAGGTAAGTTTTCTCAACTTTGAACTTCTTATACAACATCATTAATGGTTACTTTGTGAATGAAAAATATAGACATCATTGCCCTGAAGCTACCCATACCTTTAGTTTTCATTTATGTTAACTGTAAGTGGAGAATTTTGAAGTTGAACTTTCATAAAAATTAGGTTTTAATTTGATACCAACAAAAATTCATGCTCATCTTTGATTTATAGCTGAAGTTATTTATATAGTTGAATTCGTCGTGAAAAACCAAGCAACATTCATATTTACATTTTTGAAAATGGTTGAGAAATGAGAAAGTTTAAAAATTCAAAGATGGTATTGAAGTTGTTGGCGTGAGGAAGAAGACGAAGTTACAATCAAGAATGGGTTTATTTTAAATTTAGTGCAAATTGTTCTATTACCGGATGTAACAGTCACCCGAGTGGTAGAGAAACGCGCGCTAAATCATTTACCTATAGGGACCTAGGTTCGAACCCTAGTGATACCCTTTTACTTTTCACATAATTTGTTATTTTAGATTCAATGCAAGCAAGCTAGGGATGTGCATGGTGTTCATCTCAACATCACCACATGATCATCACATGGCTAAATCTCACACATCCAAATGCAAGCCCATGATGTACTCCAAGAAATCATTCACATATGATCAACATGCGCTAGACTATTTGTTTCTGGACCTTGACTGAGTTTGCTTTCATACACCTCCCATTTTGCTTACTAACAGCGCACGTCCAATATTTTTTTTTGTTACAAACTTTTTTTTTTCTGATTTCAAAAAATGATTTATGTTGGGGCTGTCAAAAATTGTTATTTCACACCCCTTTTACTTTTTAACACCCTGGTCCAATAATTTTTTTTATATTCTTCATATTTTCTTATTTTTATTTATTTTCATTTTAACAAAAAATACAAAATATAAATATTATTAAATAATTAAATTAAAAATATTTTAATTGAAACATTTTATTTCATTTTTTTTAATTAAATTAGATTTTATTACTCTTTTTTTTTTACATTATAAAAATATTTTCTTTTCAAATTAACATTAACATTCAAATTATTTTACAAACAAATTATTAGACTTAGATTTTATTTTCTTTTTAATTTCAATTAACTTAGATCTTAGGTTTTGTTGAATAATTAATTAACTTCTCTTGTAATTAAAACTAATTAGTTTGATTAGGTTAATTATAAAATCTTTTTTCATGAAAAAATCACCAAAAATAATTCTTTTCTCTTTTCTTCATCTTCATATTCTTTTGCGTATTTTGTTATTTCGCATTATTATTCATATATATCGTTTGTAATAAATAATTAGGCTTTATTGCTCTCTTTTCCCCATTCAAAAACTTGTACTACCCATTCCCAAAGCGCTGTAATAGCATAAGACATTTAAATTCCACAATTTACTGTTTTCCTTATTATTGTTAGTAATTAGAGTTTGTATGACAAGATTAAAACCAAACATTAGACGACCTTATTTCAAGATAAACTAATTGAATCAAACACAGTTTGCACACATGCACCTCTAGGGTAACCCACACTTATTGGCTCAGATTAATACAGTCATGTCCCTAGAACGTGAGATGCTTTAGAAAAGACCTTCGATTAAAAGATCGTAGTCCTTCGATGACCCTTCGATGT